CAAATTAGTATGCCAAACACGACTTTTCCGACCCAAAAAGCAAAGAAAATTTGAAACCTTACCAATATTCCACCTTTACTTCCACCTCAACTGTGGACACCTACGTTGAAAGTTAAAATCAGTCAGCTTTGAATTACACTTACACAAAACCTGGAATGGCGGGAAAAGAAACCCACAACTCTACCTTACGAAATGTGAACGTCTTCGTGCAAGTCTTGCTTATTTCCAAAGTTCCAAGATCGAAAGTTTCTGTCTCCACGAAATCATCACTTAATATGTCCGACTCCATCAGTGTTATTTCTGAAAAATAAAAAAAAACGGAATCTCTGTAAAGTTGGTCGCCGACCAATAAAAGAACCATCTTTGCTGGCTGAGTTCACCATCTTAGTTTTGAACGCCTGAAAGAACCTGGGTCGAGGGTCTCAAGAAGGTTAACCGTAATACATGCCAAAATTTAGCCGTTAGGCGGAAAATTGGAAAATTTTAACTGTTAGTCGCAAAATGGATAGATTTAGATACGAAAGTGAAAGTCTCGAGATCTGTTATCAAGACCCAGATTTTGTGTCTTGTTTTGTGACTTGTGAGCTATATTAGTCTACAATTCTTTTAATAATACCTTTTTCCGTCCGGGAGTGCTCCTAAGATCTTAAATATGTTTTACGGTAATCAAAATATTTATTTTTATTTTTTTACGCAACGCTACGCTCTTTGTAGAAAGGACCCTCTCTCAACAGAGAGCAAGCATAGCGTTACGAGGTTAAAAGGGGCCAGACTGGACTATAAGCGTTCTCAGGAGCAATGACAGGCGCCGTATTTCTAAATTAGCCACTTACGTAACAAGTTCAACTGTTCCGCATCGAGATAAAAATAGAAAGCTTCATCCCATACTGGACTGTTAGTGTTACGTTGAACTTTTGTTCTTCGTTTGCCGTTTGGTGACGTTGGAATTAACAACTTGACATACGGATCTGGGGTATCAACTATCGAAGAAACAGGAAAATATAATAGATATATTAGAGCGTTAAAAATAAAAATTATAGCAGCGTTTTCTAGTAAAAAGAAGATTAAAAACTATGAGCGCGTGACAGCCTGACTACTGTCTTCAATGGATAATTAGAGAATGCAAGAGAGAACGTGAACAAGTCAAATTGAGGAATATCAAATAAAAGCAAGGAAAGAATCGTTGCCACTCAGAATAACGTTACTGAAACTGTGGAAATGTTTATTTTTTAAATTTCTTAAAAGATTTAAGACTGAAATCACGAAGCCACAATCAAGACAGTATTATCTGAAAATAATAACGAACAAGAAATAGAATATCAACCAAAACTTCATTAATTCCATCCGTTGGTTACTGAATTATGTAAAAGTAATCGTATAAATGCGAGCGCCACTTGGAAATTCTCTCAAAATTTACGAACTTTAGGGCGAGTCCAATTTGAAAGAATTTCAATAGTACAAATCGGGGAAATCCCTAATTGTTTGAGCTTCGTACGATTACTACCAGGAAAGATCTTAGTCAACTTTCTGGTTGAAGATATATGATATTTATTTTCTAGATTGACTGAACAAGAGTCAAGACTATACTTACGGAAGTCATCAAATGAACCTAGTGTGATATTGTGTCCTCG